TGCAGTTCTCTTTAACATCCAGTATACACAAAGGTGCCATTGGGGTATCCATAATATTTCATATTTGAATAATATAAATATTTTTGACACCGTGCCTGCTCTCCCTTACTCCTGACAGTGGCTCCTTCCTCATTTTCTAACTTTGATCAGTCATAAAAATAACCAGTCAGAGCAATGAGGTGCTGTACAGTCATGTGTGAAATTTCCTTGCATGATGAAGTGCCGGGGAACTGTAATCCTGTCATTTTTATATAGTGCTTGGGATATAAACAATACAGTACAAGGTAAAAGCAGACAGCTTCCCTGAGTTATGGGCCCAACGAGATTACAATCTACTTTTATTAAAAGAGGCTCAAAGAGATAATACGACTTCACAGAGTTGCTGTGAGTTAGTGTGATGGTTTTGAACCTGTGGCTTTGTAGAAGTTGGAGAACTACAAGTCCCAAGGTAGAAAGACAACAGAAACTTGTAACGTTAGGGAGCAGTAAGGTGGATTTAAAGGAGACTTACACTAAGAGAAATATGAGAGTTGTTATGGTGACCTCTTTCTAAAAATGCAAGTGTACAATCCAAACGCACACGTTCCTGCGTTAAAAATGGCTGCGTGTATAAGTGGGTGTTGCAGCGACCGTCGGCTGGAACCGAACAGAATCAGCAAGGGAGAATGTCACCAGCACACCGAGGATCACCAATATGGGTCCAAAAGTTTTAATGAACAATCACATAGTTACAGCAAGGCAACGTTTCGGAGTCTCGTAGGTCCCCTTCATCAGGCATTTTCACATGTCCTGTGAGACTCAAACGTTTCCTTGCTGTAACTATGTGATCGTTCATTAAAACTTTTGGACCCATATTGGTGATCCTCGGTGTGCTGGTGACATTTTCCCTTGCTCTTTCTAAAAATGCCAGATGCCTCTATGATGACCTGGAATTCCGATCTGAAAGTCATAGTCAAATCATAACACCTGATCTGCACGGTTCAAGAGTATTGAAGCCATTGGACCAGCATGACAAGGTCATGCTGGCCCTGACAAGGTCATATATAGTACATATTTCTTTCAGTTCAGTTCTACTTTAAAGTGAAACTCCGGGTGGTTGTTAGATCATGAAAAACTGTGCTGTCCCCAGCCGATAAAGATTTTGCTAATTTTGTTAAGGGTATAATCTATTAGAACAGCCTATCTCAACCTTCTCAACACAGAGGAACCCTTGAAATAACTTTCTGGTCTCACGGAACCCCTACTAAAATTGACTTGTAGCACTTTTCCTGAAGGAGCTGCTAATGATTTTGTGTTCTCTGTTCTGTGCCTCAACTCCAAGAACAATCCCGGACTCCCCCTTACACACCTAGTTTGAATAGGAATACTGCAAACACAAGTGCAAGAGACTCTCAAAAGAACAGCTTTAAAAGATAATGATTTACTAGAGATTATTAATTCAATAGAAGCAAAACATAGCAAACAAAGTGACCAACACATCCTAAATAAACCTATGATGGAGCAAGAGGGGGAAGAGGAGACCTTTAGTCAGTCAGTTCCCTCTACGTCCTGCAGCCACATGGAAAGAAAACAATAAGGCACACTTTATGAAATCTGGGTAGGAGTTCACCCTTAAAATAAATAAGTGCTATGTCAGCAATAATAAAAAGAAAGACAGTCAGTGACAAACTCTGTAGACTGAATCCTTTGAATGGACAAATCCTGGAGGTAACTGTATCCTTCGTCTTCAGCTTGCTTATGGTGGGGCCCATAGGTATCACTGTGCAATGGCAACTAGCAGAATGAAAGGGATAGCAAAAGGTATCCCGTAACAAAAACCCTTCAGTAGGTAAAGAGGGGGGGGAAAACGGTGTCTGCATTCAGTGTCTATACTGTATTAGGAAGAATGTAGGGCTTGCACCCATTCACTAGACCCCTGGGAGATGACACAAGTTAAATTCTCTGTGGAGAGTCAGACTCCTGGCAGAGTGAAGTTGCTCTGGATTGTGTGGGTTTTCCCCAACTTGGAAAACATAGCATCAAACAAAGTCTTAAAGATATACATTAGAAATGACTGTGTCTTAGGCTTAAATGCAGGACCAACACATCCTAAATAAAACCTATGATTCCAGGAGCAAGAGGGGGAAGAGGAGACCTTTTGTCAGTCAGTTCCCTCTAAGTCCTGCTGCTACATGGAAAGAAAGCAATAAGGCACACTTTATGAAATCCGGGTAGGAGTTCACCCTTAAAATAAACAAGTGCTATGTCAGCAATAATAAAAAAAAGAAAGACAGTCAGTGACAAACTCTGTAGACTGAATCCTTTTAATGGACAAATCCTGGAGGTAACTGTATCCTTCTTCTTCAGCTTGCTTATGGTGGGGCCCATAGGTATCACTGTGCAATGGCAACTAGCAGAATGAAAGGAATATCAAAAGGTATCCCGTAACAAAAGCCCTTCAGTAGGTAAAGAGGGGGGAAAATGGTGTCTGCATTCAGTGTCTATACTGTATTAGGAAGAATGTAAAGCTTGCACCCATTCACTAGACCCCTGGGAGATGACACAAGTTAAATTCTCTGTGGAGAGTCAGGCTCCTGGCAGAGTGAAGCTGCTCTGGATTGCCTCTTGACTACCGATCAAGACAGTGGGTAGTGACACCTGCAGGGTGCTCAGCAGCGGCTGATCTGATTTCTGGAGAATACTACAGTCCGTAGAACATTGAGAGTCACCCTGTAGTGCTGGATGATGCCGGACTGCCGAGCCGATTTACTGAGCTGGACAGTGGAGCAGCCTAGTCTTAAAAGGGAGGATGGCACACTCCCCTCCATGAGCCTTCAAGTTCAAAAGAGAAAGAGGAATATATCTGCCTCCCCAGGATGCCCTTTAGTTTTCTTTCCTCTGGTAAATGTAGTCCAGACAATGCTGAAAAATACAATGTTTCTAGGTGATGGGACTACTGGTCCCAAGATCATCTGCTTCTCAGACACACTTCCCACTCTGTCAGCAGGAAATGATGTGTTTACTCTGCACTGGATGCTAAAGGGGAAGAAAGGGAACCTCAGTCTGTGCAACACATATCCCTGAAATGCTGAATGACCCAGCCTGGATCTGGCTACATACTATACCTACAACTCATTATACATTAGTGTGATGGTCAATGGGAAGAATGCTCCATACACTTGTGGTCATTGCGTAGAGTTCTCCTCTTACAGATAGCTAAAAAGATCAATAGTGCCAGTGAGAACTTATCTTAGGAATTGCTCAAGGAACCTCTAGCAACCACTGGACGAACTTTAGCTTTCCATGGAACCCTGTAGAGTAAAATGTACACAACAGCCAGTGCTCCGGGCCTTGTTTCTCCCATCCTGGAATGTGGGTGGTCACTTTGTCATCACATGCACTGTATCTGCTGATGTCAGCAAGGGGGCAGTAAAAAGACTGATCAAAGACCAACAAGAAGAGTGTCTTCATGGAACCAGTCCTCACAACTAGAACTAGATTGAAGAACAATAGAATAAGGTAAGTTTTTTACTCTGCATTATTTTATCCCTTTCACATAACATCTTTAATCAGCTTAGGGGGTAAGGCACACATTTTATGATTTACCAACTGCCCAGAGTTGGGCTTTAAGAATAATTTTGAACACTACACTGGCCATACAAGACAATACCCACAACCCTTTCTATGGAAAATTACTGTAATATCTATGCCTTCAGACATCAGGTAAGAAGAACTACAAAAATGGACCTGTGACTCCTCCACTTCAGCATTTCTGAACTGATAAAAAAACATTCTTCTCCCATCCCATGATGCAATGTAAACTTCTCTATGTCTATATCTATCTCGTGCATGATGTAGTTGAAGAATGGTCTCACACACACACACAAATTTGGTTGTCAGATATTAGATTTCATTGTAATTATATCCCAATACAAGCCATATTGGAGAGTTATTTGGCTATCTGTATTGATCTCAAAAGCTAATAATTTTAAAGTGACTATGTCACCACTAAGAAAAAAAGTCTAAGAAAACCAATAATACCTGTCTGGTGGTCTGTGACTCTGATCTTCACTGTCCTGCAGAGAAATGGTGTCTGAAAAGTCTGGGAATGCTTGATGCCTGGTCTCTTGCATCAGCAATATGTTCAATCCACCGTTTTCCCTGTCATTATGTGATGTAGAAAGTAAATGAATAAACTTCCCAGTAATGCTATTACTAGGCTGCAGCTAGAGGGAGCTGTAATGATTTGTAGAGTGATTTCAAGAGACTATACCAACAAGCTCACATTAAACTGGGAATGCAAGGAAGTGACACATGTTTTCAGTCTCCTCTTTAAATACAGGTTAGTCACACTTGGTTTATGCTATCTTTGTTCAATTTTGTGTTTGTTATGAAATTCACATTCCTAACAAATGAATTCAAGGCCATGTTGCAAAAATGAATCCACACCAATAAACGTCTTAGGAGAAAAGCTACGTTTTAGACAAAAAAATCCTAATTAACAAGAATCCAAATGCAAGTGAGTCTAATTATTCATTAAACAGGTGTCCAACAGCCAGTTGATTATAAAAGGGTGTCATTTAACAAAGAAAACCCCTTCCCAGTTCATGCTGTCAGCAATGGCACCACATGGAAGAGAAATGTCACAAGGCCTGAGAAAGAAAATAATTTCTTTACACAAAAAAGGTGAAGGCTACAAGAAGATCAGCAAAGCTTTACTTATCAGTCAGAATACTGTAGCAAAAGTGATAAAAAAAATAACAAAGATTGGAACTGCAACCATCTCACAGAGACATCCAGGCCATCCACAGAAGTTAACACCTTGACAAGAGCATCTTTTGATGAGAAGGATTGAAGAAAATAACCATGCAAGTTCACTGTAGTTAGCTAAATAAGTAGAAAGCCAAACTGGGGTGATTGTTTCCCGTGACACAATATGGTGTACACTGCACAGGAATGGCATGCATAAGTGTTGTCCACAAAGGAAGCCTCTCCTAAAGCCCATGTACAAAAAAGCCCACCTAGAATTTGCTGGGGCCCATGCTGAAAAAGAAGACTACTGGGACTCTGCACTCTGGAGTGATGAGACCAAGAGATATGTTTTTGGAACTAATGGCTTCAAAACTGTATGGTATTGCAATGGTGAGGAGTACAAAGAGAAATACATGGTGCCTACAGTGAAACATGGTGGTGGCAGTGTCCTTCTGTGGGGCTGCATGAGTGCTGTTGGTGTTGGGGAGCTGCATTTTGATGATGGTATCATGAATTCACAGATGTACTGCTCAATATTGAAAGAGGAGATGCTACCATAACTCCGTGCCCTTGGTCGTTGTGCACTTTTCTAACATAACAATAATCCAAAACACACATCTAAGGCCACTGTTGTATTTCTGAAGAACAGGGTGAAAGTGATTCAGTGGCCAAGTATGTCTCTTGATCTGAATGCAATCGAACACCTATGGGGAATTCTTAAGAGACAAGTTGAGCATCACTCTCCATCCAGCATCCAGGCTCTAAAAGAGGTCGTTTTTGAAGAATGGAAAAAGATTGATGTTGCAATATGTCGCCAACTTGTTCATTCCATGCCTAGAAGACTTGGTGCTGTCCTTACAAATCATGGAGTTCATACAAAATACTAGGTGGAGTATTTTTTGTTGTGGGGTGTATTCATTTTTGCATCAACTAATTTGAGAAAAACTGAAGATTTTATAATCTAAGTTATATTATTAACCTTACTTTCATGTAATGAGCCGAACAAATGTTCTATAAAACTCAGTTTTGTAAAAATGTTGGAAATTGTTCTTGTGTTCATTGAGATACTGATTAAAATTTTACTTTTCAAAAGGGGTGTACTCATTTATGCTCAGCACTGTGCATGTGTATGCGTATATGTGTGTATATATATATATATATATATATATATATATATATATACTGTATATATCTCAATCAGAGTGATGATGCAAAATTGCAATCTCATTTTTCACCATATGTGTTACCAGAGGACGGCTTCAGCAAAAAGGCATAACGTTCCTTCAGGAAATGTATATAGGATAAGTTAGCTCTTTACAGCACCTCCACATCTCTGTTCTGACTGGAGTATCAGCAATAACCAATCAACCTGCCCTGAGCTGTCCTTACTCCACAGGAACCTTTCCCTACACTATGCACCAAAATAATGTGTGTTCCCTAATTTAAAGGCTCCCCTCACCCAAGATGGCCACTGAAGTCTCTTGAGAGTTTAATGTCCAATCAACCCTAAGGGATCAATTCCCGATAAGACCCCTCTTTCCATGCAAAAATAGCACAGAACCACCTACATGTGGGAAGGCTAACTGCACCTGCCTAGTAGGCAGGCCACTGACTGGTGAATTCACTGTGTACAGTTAGATGGAATAGGATTGAATAGATTTAATCTTAATAATCATCTACTATAATAGGAAAAATAGAACATTACAGACCACATTACGTGGAGGAGCCCAATGAAAGAGTCCTTTTTTTTTTTAAAAAAAAAAGTGAAAACTTATCATCCATTCTCAAATAAGGTTCTATGGAGTCCTGGGGTTCCTCTAGTGGTTCCTAGGGGTTCCTTTGTGTTGTGACTGATTGATCACACATCTGATGGCTCCTGCTTAATTCTGGATGCAACACCACGGTTCCATATACCACATCAGTGTAAACCTAGACTAAGAGACCACCACTTTAAGGGGTGCATTTTTCCCACCAAACTACCAAAATTAGTAAGGTTTCCCCAAGACCTGGGTTCCTTTAGGGTAAAAAGGTTGCAAAATGCTTCCCTATATACTCAATCCATACTGTATATTTGAATATTACCTTTAAGAAGTACCTCCACTTTTGCTGAGAAAAAAAAAATATTCCCCTATGGCTGATCTATGTACATTGCAGGGATTTTAACAAACTTTGTTACAGATTCCTACCTTTTGCTATTTTAAAGAAATAACTGTTTGTTTGTCTGTGTGTTGATTTCATAATTCTCAATCAGCTGCTACACTTGCAGGGTTCTAATGAGCAAAGGGGCAGGGTCTGCATCCCTTCAAGCATGATTTACCTTTGGGACTATCTCACCAAAAAGAACATTTTTTTTTTGCAGGGGATGCTCAAAATGTGACTTGTATCTTAGTACAGACTTCTAGGAAAATCAATAAGCCAATCACACACAAGCAGGACATGACATTTCTGGGGGGCATTCTGTATACCATTTGTGTACAGAACACTTCCAGGTTGCCATGCTGCATTGCATTTTACAGAAAAGTACAGCATTGCAGATTGAAAAGAAAAGGACATTTTTAATAAAAATTCAATTGCAATATGACTTGTAGTGTAGCAAATGTATGCACTATATTATTATTTTTTATATGCTATATTATTCCCCACAAAAGTGGAGTTATACTTTAATTATACAGCAATTGCAATACAATTCATTTCCAAAAGCACCTGATTTATTTAATGATGGTGTTAAATTACATGTAACATATTCCCCCCCCAAAAAAAAAATTCAGACCCAGTGCAATAATGGAATAACTGTGCAGCAATCAAAAGGGCTGGAGGTGCTGGAAAATCTGGCTCACCACAAAATAAACTTTCCTAATTAAGCCAATTAAAGCGTCTCTCAGTGTGTAATCTTGAGACTCCACCAAAAGCTTTCTGAAAAGGTTTTCTTGCGCCTTAAGCGCGTGGAAGTGCAGGGCTCACATCTGTCCAGAGTAATGCAGGCTGTAGTGAGCCACAGGCGATCTAAAGAGCAGCAGATGCTCTCCATGGTGCTGAAAGTCCCAGCCCAGAGGTCATGCCAAAGGAGAAATAAAGCAGGTTTGCGTAAGTAAATTCCCCATGTTAAGAATTCCCTGTAAGTGCTGCTTAAATAAACATATTCAGGTCTTTTCTGGGGAAGGGGAGGGAGGAGGATTTTATTACTTCTTATCTTATGTACAGAATATACTGTATATCATAAAATGTTTACAGTTGAAAAAGTTCCTTCTGAACATTTCCCCCCAAAAATTAAATAAATATTTTTCACATGATTTCTTACATATTCATAACAAGTCCTTTGACTATAAGATGCTGTAATTTTTTAAATATTTTGTTTTATTCAGAAGGAAATACATCTGAAAGTGAACATAACATGTATTATCTATACAGGATCGCAGTACATTCAGGATAGTCATACTTATAGTTCAACAATCTGATAGATCCAACAGTATGACTCCTAGACATGTGCGATTCGTTTCTTTATGAGTCAAAATGCGGATGAAATTTTTGTTATTTGGAGACTTGTATGTATCCAAATTTCTGCATCACAATAGTAATGAATTTCAAGGAATTTGAAATTAATTATAACAAATCGAATTATACAAGTTCAAATTTGAAATGAGTTTGAATTTAAAATGGAAACATATTCCAATAAATACAGTAAGGTATAAAGGTGACATATGATGATGATTCCTGTTTAGGCTGCTTTATAGAATAGAATAGAATAGAAAGTAATAGAATAAAAATAAAGGAATAGAATAAAAATAGAATATAAAGTTCTATAATTCACTGGCCTGCCTCGCTGCTGGCTATCCCCGCTTCAGTTGATCCTGAATACGGCTGCCAGACTCATTCACCTTTCCAACCGCTCCCTCTCTGCCACCCCCCTCTGCTAATCCCTCCACTGGCTTCTGGCGATTGCGCAACTGATCAAATTCAAAATCCTAACACTGACGTACAAAGCTGTCCACCATACTGCCCTGAACTACATCACTGACCTAATATCCAAGTACCACCCAGCACGCACACTCCGCTCCTCACAAGACCTCCTTCTCTCTAGTTCCCTGGTCTCCTCCTCCTATGCCCGCCTGCAGGACTTCTCCAGGGTGTCACCCATCCTCTAGAACTCCCTGCCCCAACCCATCAGATTATCACCTACTCTCCTCTCCTTTAGGTGCACCCTGAAAACCCATCTCTTCAGGGAAGCCTACCCCACCCCCTGCTAACTTGCCAACCTCCTCCACTCTTCCTACCACTCCATCCCCCAAAGCTATGTCCTCCTGTGCCACCATCCCCTCCCTCCTAGATTGTAAGCTCGAAAGTGCAGGGCTCTCAATCCCCTCATGTTTTGCATTGTATTGGTATTGTTCTGTCACATGTTCTGTCCCCCTTTGTAATGTACAGTGCTGAGCGAACTATTGGCGCTTATAAATACTGTATAATAATAATATTAATATAATAGAATAAAACAGAATAGAATAAAAAAAGAATAGAATAGAAAATAAAGGAATAGAATAGAAAATTGAGGGATAGAAAAGAATAGAATAAAATATAAAAATTAAAGAATAGAGTAGAAAAAAAAATAGAATAGAATTGAAAAAAAAAGGAATATAATATAATAGAAAATTGAGGAATAGAAAAGAATAGAATAAAATATAACATTAAAGAATAGAGTAGAAAAAAAAAAATAGAATAGAAAATAAAGGAATAGAATAGAACATCAGGGATAGAAAAGAATAAAATATAAAAAATTAAAGAATAGAGTAGAATACATAGAATAGAATAGAATAGATCAGAGTAGAAAAGAATAGAATAGAGTACAAAGAATAGAAAGCACAATGTCAACAGAGCTATTATGAATGAACATAACAACTGTGCTTCCTATACAGTGATGCTTTGACTGGCACGCAGTTATTACATGGTACCTGGGCCAATCACAGCACCTTGTACCTTCCAATTAGCTGTAGCCAATTACAGATCACTAGTAATCACAGTTGTTATAAATGTAACCCATTCATGATAGCACACAACATTCCTGTTAGAGTGATTTTCATTGTAACAGCCATTAATGTGTAAAAAAAATATCCCTGATTTCCTCCCCCCCAGAGTAGTACAGTGCACTACATACTACAGAGTAAGTATGGTGACACTGAACTACCCTCATGAAAATATGTAAAAAAAAATTGTAGAAAGGAAACCAAATGTTAAAAAAAAGTTTTTTAAATTTTTTACAAAAAACATTTAAATTAATTAAATAAAAGTAGCGCAGTGCTGAATAGCAAAAAAATTGCTCTGGTCATGAAGGGGGTGAAACCTTTCCAGAGTGTTTAAATGCTTGTGGAATTGGCCATTAGAGGCCCATGTAACAAGGTGACAACATAGCAGCAGAAATGGAAGACAACAACAGAGTGTTGTCACCCTATAACAGAAAAGGCCTGTACAAGGTCCTTCATGGTAGGATCACCAGGTTTTATTTTATTAAAAGCTGCAGATTTTAAAAAAATGTAAAGATGACAAAAAAAATACAATAACACACAGACATAGCTGGTATATACAGCGTATAATGTCAACTTTTTATTG